TTCGTTTGCGCCTTTTCTCAAGGCTCGTAGAGAGCATTCCGTACTTTGATCGCCGATTCCCCTTCCTCGATTGAAGCTCTAGGTTTTCGCATAGGATTTTTTTTGGATTGTGAATCGTTGTCGTCGTATTGATGGCGTCAATGAGAGTGTGCAAAATAACCTAAAAAAAAACTAGGCATCAGCATCCACCTACTTTTTCACATTTGGTGGCTTCCAACATGCTCGCGTTTGTACAGGAAATTTTTGATGAGTTCCGTGGGAGAATGAGTTTAATTTATGCACGTGAATAAATTGGCCGCTGATTTTAGATAACAAGACAGGACGAGTGCTGACAGTCTGTCACGTGGCTAAATGCGAGAAGGTTGCGAAGGTGAAGCATGTTATATGCTTGCAATAAACGATGATTTCCATGATTGACAAGACAGAACTAAAGTTTAAGAAGTGCCCAGAGACCAAGGCTGCTGTAATATGTTGTGCTCCTTCCATTCCATATCAACAAGCGACGTATGCAGTTAAAAGGTAAGCTTTTTATTATAACGTAATAACCGATTATTGACTAATTCATTGCTGACAAGGTTTATCATGTGTCATCTTCCGACAAAATTTTTATACAGAACTCTCGTTCTATTCGTTTTCCAATAAGGAATGTTCAATTAATTATCCTACCTTTAGGAAATCTTTCCGATTTCGCTTTTCCAGGCTTTTCTCGTGTGGCTGTGAAAAATGACTGCTGCACAACTTAGCCATACCTATACAAGAATTTAAGGAAATGGTTATTGTACATCTAATAAGTATAACCGTGACACGAAAAAACTAACCACTTACACAAACAACTGACAAGATGTGTTGATGCTAGGCTTTAGTGATCAGAGATTTTCAAGAAAAAGAAACGTCCTTACCTTTGGTTAGTAAACTTTAGACAAGTTCCTCCAACTGCTGATAAGAGATCTATAGAGAGAGATATGAACATAAGATTGTAAACTTCAGGTATATTCTACCCAGGATGTTACAAAGTTAACATGTTGGCATGACTATTAGACTGTAAACCTCAGGTATATTCTACCCAGGATGTTACNTCTAGGTTTTCGCATAGGATTTTTTTTGGATTGTGAATCGTTGTCGTCGTATTGATGGCGTCAATGAGAGTGTGCAAAATAACCTAAAAAAAAACTAGGCATCAGCATCCACCTACTTTTTCACATTTGGTGGCTTCCAACATGCTCGCGTTTGTACAGGAAATTTTTGATGAGTTCCGTGGGAGAATGAGTTTAATTTATGCACGTGAATAAATTGGCCGCTGATTTTAGATAACAAGACAGGACGAGTGCTGACAGTCTGTCACGTGGCTAAATGCGAGAAGGTTGCGAAGGTGAAGCATGTTATATGCTTGCAATAAACGATGATTTCCATGATTGACAAGACAGAACTAAAGTTTAAGAAGTGCCCAGAGACCAAGGCTGCTGTAATATGTTGTGCTCCTTCCATTCCATATCAACAAGCGACGTATGCAGTTAAAAGGTAAGCTTTTTATTATAACGTAATAACCGATTATTGACTAATTCATTGCTGACAAGGTTTATCATGTGTCATCTTCCGACAAAATTTTTATACAGAACTCTCGTTCTATTCGTTTTCCAATAAGGAATGTTCAATTAATTATCCTACCTTTAGGAAATCTTTCCGATTTCGCTTTTCCAGGCTTTTCTCGTGTGGCTGTGAAAAATGACTGCTGCACAACTTAGCCATACCTATACAAGAATTTAAGGAAATGGTTATTGTACATCTAATAAGTATAACCGTGACACGAAAAAACTAACCACTTACACAAACAACTGACAAGATGTGTTGATGCTAGGCTTTAGTGATCAGAGATTTTCAAGAAAAAGAAACGTCCTTACCTTTGGTTAGTAAACTTTAGACAAGTTCCTCCAACTGCTGATAAGAGATCTATAGAGAGAGATACGAACATAAGATTGTAAACTTCAGGTATATTCTACCCAGGATGTCACAAAGTTAACATGTTGGCATGACTATTAGACTGTAAACCTCAGGTATATTCTACCCAGGATGTTACAAA